TCTGGCTTGGGGAAGCTGCTTTACAGGGCAAAAATCACATAATGTCACACAGTGTAAAGTCCAGGGCGCGTCAAATACTCCTCTCTACCTCAAAGAGCCTTTAAGTTTGTTTATCGGCAGTCATCCGCCATTCCTCCGCGCTGTTTTATGCTGTTCTCTCATATAGATAGAGCATCCTAGACCAATAAATTGTATTTCTGTCGCAAACAGTTTAGCAATAGACGCGCGACACGCACCATAAATTACATTTGCGCAATTAAAGTGCCAACCTCTGACCTTGCCGGACCGGCACAACCGTGACCTGACTTGCGCAACGGCAACAGTTTTTTTGAACAGTTGCACTTAGAACATGACAAAAGAATATTTAGTGGATCAGCATAAGTCACGGACAGGAGTTGGTGGTTTAAAGTCCGCCAGCACTTCAGCGCACAACTCGCAGACTGAGAAGACGCCATGAAACAACTCCCCCCCTCTCCCCTCCCCTCCAAGTCAAAACAAAACGCAGCAGTTTCGTGGAAAGCACAACAGTTGGTCGAGCGCTGGTGGCAAAATCGGTAGCGCGTACTCACTGAGGTGTAAATATGGATCATTGGTGTCCATAGTGGGCGAGTTGTTGCGTCGATTTCCTACAGTCGGTGCCGCTCCTCATCCCAGCGCATTCCACTCACTGCTAGACTGAACTCTGCAAGGCAGCTCAACACGGGGGCCCAGCGAGGGAGGGGCGGTAATACAGGGCTTCTCCCAATGACAACAGTGGTCGATATCAAGCTCCAACGCTATCATGACGAAACATCTCTCCTGCGGTGACAGTGTTGCAATATTTTCACAGTAAAATGTTACTTTCGCGTCACGGGGGGGAGCTTGCCTTTACCAAATCACCGCATTTACCCATAACAACCTATTTTGAAGTTCGTGATCATTATAAACCTTATTGTGCAATAATCTGACATTTGCGTCTTATCATGTTACCAGTCCGCACATTGAGACGGAGAAAGGGATCATCTAGTTTTGCAGCCGTAATTTCCCAGTGGAACCGACCAAAAAAAAAAATAAGCCACTTCCCAATTCTCAGAAATAATCTGCTTAACTCCTTCCGACCATCTAGTCTACTGTTTTGCTTTTCACCAATCCAATTTGTATTGGTAAAAATTCTAATGCGCAAAAAGAAAAAAGAAAGAGAAGAGCTAATTGGGTAACCCTCTGGGTACCCCACACCTCCTGGTCAGAGCGCGGGGTCACGCAGGGGTGAGGGTCCCGGTAAGTAGGAGGGTTACGGAGGAGTCACGCCGCACTCAGGCTTTAACTGCAGGAACCGCCGTGCGCGCAGACGCTGCGTCAACGCCGGGCCGCTGACCACTCAGCGGGCCCCACTAATGGGACAAGCACCCCCTGCTCCACCGTCCTCGCAACAGAGACCCATAAAAGAGCACAGGAGGATGCTAACCAAGATGAATGGCGTTTTTCTCCCCCCCCTCTCCTGCTCATTCTACACTAATCAGAGCTTTACATTTGTTGTGGCCTCGCGCCAACCCCTGCGCAGCCACCGCTCGGCCAGATAACGTACAAATTCATTAAAGTCAAAAGAGGCGTTTTAAAACGGTCATTTGTCAGCTCTCTCTTTGTGTGTTACTAATGGTGGGACATAGTTCAAGGCATTGAGATGATTTTAGTTGGAGTGTCTCCCTGCTGTGCATTAGGGGAGGATGTGGGAACTAGAAACACTGATCTATCACTCAGAAACAAACGGAAAAAGACTAACTTGCCACAATTACAATAATTATCGGGTATATTTACATGCTACCTAGGACATATTGTAAAGATTACAAAAAAATTTGGTGCCCAAAATTATGTCGTCACATTTTTTCATTTTTAGCCAATCCATAATTCTAAATGTGTTATCTTTCTCCAAATGTTTAAATAACATTTAAATAACATTTAAATCCATTCGTTTGAAATGGTAACTCCCCTATTCCAGAGCACACACATCTACACAATTTCACGGGGAACCAACCCTCAGTACTAATCCTTTTGTCTTCACAGACTGATTTGACCCCAAACAATGTCCTAAAGCCTAATCCTAAACCAAGCTCAACAAGCCTAAAGGCCACCTGGTATCAAGTCACAGCACAGCTAAAAGTCTAACAAAAACCTAACAGACTGGCTTCAAAACTCCTTAAAACACACAGTAACACAAAATGCACTTCAGTGTCAGATCACACATTCAAAGTAAATCTTTATGAAAACTTTAGGTCCCTTTTAGGGGAGATCTTCTACCACTGTTGGCTCGAGATTCAGGATGGAGGCTCTCGCAGGGTCCTTGTAAGAGATGTCCCTCTCCATCTGCCTCCTCTGTCATTAACCCATCTCCATCATGCATTATCAGAGGGAGCTGAACCACCCCCCGCCACCCTCCTGAAACCTCTTCAGTTCTCTGACAACCCCTGCCCCCTGCTCTATATGTAAGTCTGAGATGATAAGTGTTGTGCCTCTTTGTGCAGGCTTGTATACAACAATGCCACACAGCAATACAAAACATCATCCATCTCATAGGTCATCAATCTCGCACACAAAAGATGAAATGCGGTTAGAGCTTTTTTTTTTTCTTCTCTTTGCTTGGCGGAAAATTCCCTTCTAACTCAAGCTGCTTTTCACCACTTGGACTGTGTTTATTTTCCTCTTTGTTGTTTGAGTCAAGCAGTGATGAGTGTCAGAGGCATCTTGAAATGTCAGTACACAACTTAACAAGCATAAAAAAAAAACAAGTATCTAGACAATCGACATAATTGAGAAACAAATGCAGAAGCACCAAAAGTCCATGTTTACCTTGAAAATATCCTTAATGAAAACAAAGTGTCTTGACTTAAGTTGATTAAAAGCCTCAGTTAATTTAACATTCTTTTAAAAACACCATTCACCTTTTATTTCTCCTCCTCTGTGTGTTAGTAGGTTTGCATTATCCCATGATCAGCATGGGTCTACTTCAGTAATTGGACTTTTACTGGACAAATGTGCAATTTAAATATTCAGTTCAAATAGCTCTTACCTAGTATGCTTAGAGGACACGTATTCCAAAACAATGTGACAAAATCCCTGATCGATTCTAATGAAATGCTCCAGAAACTGTTCCAAACACATTACATATGTGAACCTGTTAATCTGAGTCAGGTGTTTTAAACACAACCAATACGGTGAGCCCTAAACTGGTGCAGACTCAGTATTATTATGATGTAGTTCAAAGTGCAGACTGCAATTATCATCATAGCACTAGGTACCTAACCAGAGATATTGATGTTTTCTTAATAATTCAACAACTAGCCCATACTCTGTGATATTGCAGAGTCCCACAATGAATTCAGACCAATCACTTGTTTGGTTTAATAAACACAATAAACTATACATGGCGATGATTCACAGATTTGATAGATAGCTACTTTTTACACCGCGCTGTTGTTGGACTGCAGACTGGGCAGATGGTTGAGCTCCATATTAGTCGTCAACTTGAAGTAATAACTTAAGACAGAGTAGATGTTTGTCCTTTTTGAAAGGAGCTGAACCGGACCACCTCAGGTTAATCTCGCTACGCCCTGAAATGCCCATGAGGGATTATGCATGCTTTACACCTGTTCCTGATTTTTCGCCCACGATCCCTGCTACAGTGAGCAAAGCATTTTAAAATCCCAGACATGTCAAAGAACAGGTATTATACTGGTTGACTCCAATTGAATCATACTAAGCTAAAGAAATATTCATATGTGCAAAACTTTGCCCATCCTTATTATTTTTGGAAATTTTACTTCATGTAAACATATTGCACTTTGTATTAAGTATAACATATAGTGTAAATACAAGTGCATTATTTTGCCTGATACAAAGTTGTATCAGGATATCTATGTATATATAGTTAAACTGAGGATTTTCTTACAGAGCGGTGATTGTTTTTAAAAATATATGATCTTAAATGGATTTACGCACGATGCGAGAGGTCACAGATGTGAACAAAAAGCACTGTTCACTCTAGAAACTATAATCACATGTACATTAGCCCCACAGAAGTGTCTGTGATCTATCTTATCTCACTCACACAGCTCATGACCACAAAATTCCTTCAGGTTGTTTAACATTCATTTAAAGTCAAATTAGAAACTTGTCTTGACCCTAATAGCATTAGACACCTTGACTTATGAGATTTTGGCGTGAGTTTCAAGCACGTGTACCCTCAATGGCTCTGGACTGTAAATGAAGAGGAGTGTCCCACATCTTTGTGATCCTACTAGGAACAAGGTTTGGCTATGTGTGAAATCGTAATCGCACAATTATTTCTTATTATCATTCCTCCTACAGGAAAATGGGATAGTTGTATCTGTTTTCCTATGGCTTGGGCAGGCTGCAAAATATTTTTTTTAATTTGTGACTGTCCCCACTCTTCTGAATTCTAGTATATGCCCTCTAAAATTTAACATGAATTAAATCATTGTGCTAGAGAGCATGCTGTATAATGAACAAACTTTGCATCTTGGACGAGACATGAATATGTGCTTAATGGCACTTAGTCTTTAAAATCAATCGTCAAGTATTTTGGGGTTTGAAAAAATCAGTTGGAAATGCATTTCAGTCAAGTCTGCTGAAATGTGCTTCCCACTCTTATTGACAAAAACATTTCAATTACAATTTTCTTTTGAACAATCATTGTCTTGTTTTCTACAGGTCATGAACTCAGTGACATCCTTTTCACAAAGGTCACAACCTGTAAAACAGAGTCATAGTAACGAGCTTTCAGTGCTATCCTGCCCTCTCGTGGCTCAAATTGACTGCACTGAACGTTGTGAGTAATGTTCAACAAATGTCCTTTGGAGGCACCCGTAGATTCACGGAAAACAGACGTGTATTTAACTGTCAAACAGGAAGCATCCCACAAGAAAAAACTTCTAGCTTAATGGTGACGCAGGTGTCGATTTAGCCGTCGGTAGTGTGTGAAAAGTCACTAATGAATTCTGTAGATAATGTCATCCGACCTAATGTTAGACTTCGGAAATCGTCAACCATACCTTGCGATGGAGAATGAGGCAGACATAATTTCTATCGACCAAGGAGGAGAGTGGGGTAAGGGGAAAATGTTGCTCAGAGAAACACCAACACCAAGGAAATAGTAATGAGACTTTGTTGTTGAATACTTTATATCCTTGTATTGTTTTTACGGGGAGATATTGTTTTAAACACGTCTTTAAAACCATTCCTGCTTTAGTTTGAGGTCGTTGTGGGCTCATTAGTTTTTTTTAAAATCATGTCTCAGCTAGCCCCTTTAGCATTAGCCAACCGTGGATAATATGATGTAACGTTTAGCTTGACTGGAAATAAATAATGCACTGGACGCACTTTAGACAACATCTTTTCTAATAAAAATTCAGCATTCGTGCTGAAAAGGAATGCTCAGATAGACTCGTATCCTTTGTACATTATGTATGGTCAAACAAAAAATGCAAATGAATATCGTATTACACTTTTTTAATGCCTACTACTACTAATAATAATAATAATGATGACGATGATGATAATGTTGAAATGTACTCATTAGTTTGTTGTTCTTCTGAGAGGAATTGCAGTGTCACATGCAGTCAGTCTTATGATGATTACATAACGGTTTGATTTTCCTTGGCTTTGGAATTGTCTCACTGGCATTTTTGGTGGTGATTAACTGTCCACACATTATTTGTGTTGCCCTCTATTATTATGGTAATTGCATGATCTTGCTAATCCTTATCTTTCAAATAATTTTATATCGGTGCATTTACTATGTTGTCTGTTTTTGCAGCCTGCTTCTTTCCAAGAGCTTCATAAAATTAGATTAAGATTCACAGTGCCTTACCCAATGGGAGGAGGTTTATTGGTCGACTTTATTTATCTAAATATTTCTTGATCCAGACGTCTTGGTGTCATATCATGCTGTGGGGTGCACAATCAGGAAGGTTAGGGTCAGAGCGAAGGACAGTCTTTACAGACAGACATGGCCCCCAGTGTGAAGCAGAGGACTTGCATGTGCCTGAAATATACTAGTGATTTTAGCCAGACCACTTGCTTGGAAAGTCATGCTTTGGTATTCACAGATGCTCTGTTGTCTGTCTAGTTTTTATTTTTAACAACTGTAGCGACGTCAAAGCACATGTTCTTTCAGCCAGAGGCTGTTCTTACGTAAGAAGCTCTATCTGAAATGATGCAATTGGGTACATTGATGATAATATTAGAAAAAATAAGGGATCTATTTATTGAAAACTTGTCAGTCTTAAATGTTAAAACAGCATGAATGCTCATGCAAACCCCCTTTATCATTTTAATTCAAGAACATCATCATTTTTTACCTTTCTCCATCCATTTTGAATGACATTCTCATTGTAACACAGATATAAGCCTGTTTGATGAGCTGGAGAATCTGGGAGATGCAGATGAGCTGCTTGAGGCTTTCGAGGGATTTGTGAGTATCTGATTTAACCAATGTTAGAAATGCAACCGTATTTATTCGTATGGACATGCATTTGAAATGTGTTTTGTTTTATCAGGCCAACAGAGGTCCAGATCTGGATTTTGATATTGACATCCCTTCGTGGAATGAAATTGACTCGAGCAGTACTTGCACAGGTATAAAAATTAACATTTTATAAACTGGAAATGATCAGAACGTCTTTTCTGAACCGGCACCGATAATATAATGCGGTTAAGTAGGATAGTTTTATATTGGTGCATACAACTCACAGTTCAGTCAATTATGGCTCATTATTCATTCATTGTGAATTAATGTGGCATGGAGCCTATCCCAGCTGACACTGGGCACAAGGCGGAGTACAGGTCGCCAGTCTTTCACAGGGCGTCAAGTATGGCTCACTGTTGAAAATTTGAAATTAAAGTTATGATTGATGGAGATACAGTAGCTTGTTATTTCCTGCACTCTTTAAGTCAAAATGTTTGGAGGTAATGATAACATTTTGTTTAAATGAAAAGTTAATTGCATTTGTCCATTGTATGATTGAATTCTATCTCTTTGACTGGGAAAATAAGCTGCTGATGGTTAGAGGCATAAGGTTTAGAAACCACTGAATATGCTAACTAAAGAAAACAAACATTTGCATTTGTCCTTGTATATCCAGATGGTGAGGTGAGTGTGGATTCTCTGTCACCTGCCCACACTCTGAGCTCTGCCCCTTCTCCCCTCTCCGTGGAAGCTTTGTCGCCATATGCCTCTCCAGTAAGAAACCCCTTGTTTTCTGTATATGAATTGAATTACCCACCCAAATGTTTATTTTATTTTTTTGCCATTGTTATTCATTGAAAGTATTTATATATGGATCTGTCTTTGCATGCATTTTGAACTAAAGAACATGTGTAGCCAGGTAGTTTACAGGCAATGACAGCTGCCATTTGCTTTGGAATAGTGAAAGGGACATAGAAATAAACACACTTGAGGCGCTTATTAACAAAAGCCTTACACACCTTGTCGGGCTAATAATCAACCGTCCATCTGAGCTGCTCCTCGTTTTAAAAAGAAAAAAAAAAAGGTGCTGGCAATTTCTTCCTAATTAGCATAATTTAGCAGACAGATGTTTTTACAGTGTGTCAAAACAAGGACAAGGGTTGCATCTTATTCTAGGTCAACACTGTCAGCATACATTTGTCTGCTTATCACCATGAAAACCCAAGGACATATTTGTTTACTGAGGGTTTCCGGATACTGACAAGGACAGCTGATCCACTTTTAACTTTTGGGTCCAAAACACATTTGACAGCAAGTGAATGTTTGGCTTCACATTGTTGGCGTTGAGTATATTCTAAATGTATCGAGTCATTCGACCAAGTTGTATTTTTGCTGTGCTCATAATGATGAATTTACAAATATGATGGCACATGACAAAATAAACCTTAAGATGCATGACCTTAAGTTTGATCTGTATCTCCCTTCAGGACGAGGCTCTTTTCCCCAAGTCATGCCCCCCTCCACTCTCAGTTTGCTTAGACTCCACTGGCTCTTCTGAAATCTCCTTGCCACCTAGGAAAATTGCAAAGCGGACCTCTCATGTGACACGAGGTGAGGCTCAAAATCACACGTCTGCTCATTTTAACATCATGGCTTTATGGAATTGCCAGGCCATAAACAAGAAGAAATGTTTGCACCACATAATATTTAGATTGATAAAGCCAAAAAGTCTAATTGGGAAATTATTGTTGTGTCTGTACACTTTTATTTGTATGTACATTTTCTTACCTGAGTTATTGATGTATTGGTAACAAAAAAACAAAACTCTCGTCTTATCTTAACCCCGTAACTCTCTCCAGCTAAACCAGGGCAGACAACCAAGCGACCAATTCAGACTGGTAAAAGGGTCTCCATCCAACCCAAACCGCTGATTACAACCATACCCCTGGCTCCAGCAGCTGCAGCTCCCTTACAGGCCAAGACCATTATCATCCAACCCGTGCAGACCACAGTGCTGCCTATGGTCAGACCAGCTCCTGTCAACATCCAGCCAGCGCCCCCTCTAGGTGAAATGGCACACTGCAAGACATTGTACACAATGCCTCTCAAAAAAAATGTCTGTTAGACCAAGCTAGACATCATAATGGGATTTGGATTTAATTTTCTTATTTGCAGTTAAGGGAGGATTTATTACAGAATAATTTTATTTCCTGTCATTTTTAAGGATTTTGTTTTCACTTTGGCAAGGAGAGGGCGCTGTACCCTTAGTTTTTGCTCCTCCGATCTTCAATGTTACTAAAATATATGAACACTCTTCTTTTTAATAAAAAGCTAAACAAAAAATGGAACTGGAAAAAACATGCATACGATAAAAAATATTTTATTTTAATTTAGCATTCACATGCAAAACAAAGTTTTCATGGGCTGCTGCATTTCTGTCATTGGTGTTTTTTTGTGGTATATCTTGCCTCATTTGTTGTCTCACATTAGTAGCATTTTGGTTGTGGTAAACACTTATCACTGTATAGGATCTTTGTGGGTGGGACATCCGACCCCTCTCTGAAAGTAGATTTGAACTTGGCTTCTGTGGTTATTGGCCAAGTTGGAGGATTGTTAACACCAAGACATCCTTGTGAAACCCAGCAGATGGAAGTCAAGTCAAGCCTTCTCAGTATTACAAGTCTCCTTTGTTTGAGGTCTTGTCAGTCTTCACTGCAGGAGAAAAGTTTTATGCTTCAGAGATGAAACAAAGAAATTAGATATGCCTCTTTTAGAGTTTGAGTAGTGGCGTTGTCTACACCCTAAGAGCAGAAGGCAGATGTACTGTGGTTTTTACATCCTTTAAACTTTCAGGGTGATGAATTCTGGCAGCTGTTGAGCTTGGACACAAGAAAAGGTGTTGAAAGCCCTTGCATTCACGAGCAGAATGAGCTAGCAATTCTTCATAATTAGCATTGACAGAAATTTGAGGCAATGGCCCCTGGTTCAGTTTGTTGAATGGTTCCTGTCACATTCTGGTGTCAGAAGTGTCCTTAAAGAAAACAGGCAGCATTTTGTTGCAGTTTTTCAATGTGATATGGGAAAATGTGTGTTTTTTTATTTGTTTTTTTGGTATGTATTAAGGCTCATTAGTCATTCACCCCTCATCTTGAAATGTTGAATTTTAAGACTACAGGTCAAGATGGCAAACATCTTCCCCATCTGTTCTTTAAAAGTGCAGGGTCCTGTTAAAGACATGAGGTTAATGTAGGTCACGAGAGGCGAGAAGGGGCTGGAGGGGCTGAAGGAACTGGTCTGTACCATCTTTTGCTGGAGGCTCCTTTAAAAAGCAGAACATTTACATGATTTTCAGCTTGTTTTGAAAAGTAAGATAAACGTCTTTTTTATGCTTCGAATAGAATTTTGTCATCTATTTGCAATTTTCTGCATTTCTCCCTAAGGTTTTACAGAGGGCTTAAGAAAATAAAACAGTCTTAATAGCCCACAGAGACCACACACTTGTCAGATGGCACTGTATTATGTCATTCTAACAAAAATATTCTTTGCCCCTCTATATATTATTTGTTTTAAAGCTGTTTTAAAACTGTTTTAAAGCTATTTGGTTCATCCAACCACATCCAACACTTCTCATTCTAAAACTCTAGTTTCACTATCAAATCATCCATTAATCCTACATATTTTTACATTTGCAAATGAATTGTTATTATATGTGGTATTGGATTATTATTTTCCATTTGAGCCCTCATGAACGTTTCTGTGATGTTATTTATATATATATATATATAGGTATTGATGTTGAATTGTAGGACATTTTCATAAATTTAAAAAACATTTAATTAGCACTGTAAATCGTAGGATAAATTTTATGGTTAGGGTTATGACCTCGAGAGCAGACGACGTGTGTGTGTATATATGTATGTGTTTGTTTGTGTGTATATATGTGTGTGTGTGTATATATACTCACACAGTTTGCATGGATCTGTGTTTCTCATATCGTAAACTCATTGTAAAGTCATGCTTCAACATTGTAATTTGAGAGTGTGTATGTGCTATGTCTCTCATTCAGGCCAACCAATATTGTTGTCTCAGCCAAGCCAAATACTGCAGATCCAAACGCCACAGGGCACCTCTGGCAATGTAGTTACAATGCCAACAACGCCCAACAAGGAAAAGTCTCGCCCGGTGACTGCATCTCCACTGGTCTCTGGCATACTCAGGTCCCCTTCGTCAGACGATGATGTGAGTTAATAAAGTTATTTTTAAAAAGTGTGTGTGTATTTATAAGTACAACTTAAAACACTGCAATGTAATTATTTTTTCATGTTTATTTTCTTGTGATAGTTTTCACAGAGGCAGCAGCGAATGATAAAGAACCGAGAGTCGGCGTCTCTGTCTCGGAAAAAGAAGAAAGAGTATTTACTCTCGCTTGAAGCTCGTCTCAAAGTGGCATTGTTTGAGAACAATGCACTGAAGTGTGAGAATGGCACTCTTAAGAAGCAACTGGAAAGTTTGCTAAGCGAGGTGAGAGGCGAGCCTCCACAGCTCTGCCTATGTGGGAACACAGCTTATACTTTGGTGCCTGCACATGGCTGTATTCAGGCAGAAGTAACACAATGAACTAAAAAAGAAGTTGGATTTTTTTGGTTACATGTTTTTATTTGTACTTTTTTAATACTTGTTCTCCCCTCTTTACACAGAACACAGTACTTAAGGCAACAGCACCAAAGAAGAGAGCTGTGTGCCTCATGGTGGTCCTGGTGTTCCTTGTGCTTAATGTTGGACCAACAAGGTGAGTCAAGTACAGGAACTGTTTTTTTTTCCATGTGCTTTTATATGCAGCATCTGTAACTGAACACTAAATACTATCTCTAAATAATTATCTCTAAATTTAACACTGCAAATGTGTTTAGTATAAAACATTATGCAGTAGAAGACTAAGGAAACGCAGAAACTAATTAAACATTTTACAGTTAATTTCCTTGTTATTTCTAACATCTCCAGGTATCAAGCTTTTGAGGGTTTTGAGGTTATTAGTGATTTATTTCTAGTCCTGTCATGGCTTAAGGAGATAGATAGATAGATAGATAGATAGATAGATAGATAGATAGATAGATAGATAGATAGATAGATAGATAGATAGATAGATAGATAGATAGATAGATAACAATGTATGTATGCATAGGTACAGTATATATCGTTCTATCTGTATGACCTTTATTCATACTGTGCACTTAAGCAAGAGGGCTTTTGATTGACTGTATTGTAAAGATCAATGTTTAAATCCTTACCTGCATGAAATCCAACAGTCTTCGAAGCTCAGCACCTTTTCTCGGATTTTCCTCTGTAAACCTACCTTTCTCTGACAACCTTACTGTTCGTTTCACCAGCCGGTATCTCATCAGTCTTTTTCAGGGTGGCTCCAAGCTCATTGTTACTCCCATGCAACACGGTGGCAGACACCTCTTGGGTTTCTCTTCAGAGGTGGAAAATGAGTTGACAATACGTCCCCAGACCGGTGGATGGCCGTCTGAGATCCCAGACAGGTGATGTACATTCCAGCACTCTTGACGAGGTTATATATCTATCCATCCTTATTCCCTAATGGGGCTGTGGGGAGCCTATCCCAGTGGTCAATGGGCAAGAGGCAAGGTACACTCTGGACAGTCTGCCAGGGCCACGGGGTTATATATATATACATATATATATATTTATTGTATTTTTTAAAATAATTTATTAGTCTTGCCGATACCTACATTTTCAAAGCATTAAAAAATGCGACCAGAATTACTTCACGGTTTTCTTTTTTTTTATACCATGAACAAGAACATTGCTTTTCATTTGTATTTAATCTAGTATGAGTATGAGACATAAAAATAAATTATCTACTGGTTAGGAAGAAACATAAATATGAAAATGATAAATTACATATTGTCATCGAGCTCCACATTCAATATACCCAAAAATATTTTCTCCCTTTTTCTTACACAGTTATGATAGTGAACTACACAAAATAAAAGTACTTCAACCGTAGCAGGAATTCAAAAAACAAAACAATACCATAAGGTCTTACTATTTTTTTTATTACATCTTGTTTTAATTTACATCCTGGACTCCTGAAAGTCTATGAGATGGCGAAAGCCAGTGTTTTCCAGGACATAACATAGTTGGTCAACTCATGCAATGTATTTGACAATCTTCTGTTATTTTTATGGATATGTCACAGTGCCGGGGTAGCTTTTGTTTTCTTTGAAATGTCTCCATTTCTGGCTGTGGTGTCTCAGCCTTCCTTTTTTAGCGTGATGAGGCTGAAAACTGACACAATACGCTTCTACCAGATTTTGAAAAAAATGGCCACATCAGCAGCCAATACCGAATGTCTGATCGGTACATTCGTAGTCTAAACTTGTGTGGAATGAGTTCAACGTATGTAAACATGTGGAGCAGCTGATTAACAGCTTTGTCCAAATGTATTCTTTTTGAATGGCTGTTGGCCCTGGACTAGTTGACCAGTACTGAAAGACCTGACCTACACGTTAATTTGTCATTGTTGGTTACAGTCTAATTTGCAAAGACTTTATCTTTGTCTTTCTTGTTTTTTAAATACTCATGAGGCCCAACAGTCTCACTTGAAAATTGCATAAATTAACTTTTTGATCAATTGCCTGGACTCCGCTTGCATTAAATAGACATTTTGCAGGTGGTCGTAGAATGTAATGTGTCCATGTCTAGCCTGTGTTGTGGTTTGGATCTCTTTGTGGGGTACGTTACATGTTAATGCAATCCATTCATCAGTAGTATCGGGTTTCCCCGCGGCATTTATCCAGAGAAGGCAGGAAAATACAGATTAGCCTTTATGAAAGGGCATTACCCAGCAGAATGGCAGGATGACGGAGATGGAAGATTTGCTACCTAATCTTGAGGTACCGTTGAACAGGAAGTTGTGCGTCGGTGTGTTCAAAGGATAACATCGGCCTCTCAGTTGTCTCAATGACCTGTTTCCAGTGTTGTAAGAGAGGGGTCCATGAGGCACGGCCAACAAGTTGGCTCACATCAGTGAGGCCAACGGATTGTGGTGATGGCATATGTTTTTTCAGGTGGGCTCTGGCTGTGGACGGTCTAGATCAAGCACCTCAAGCAAAGTAATGATTTAGACATAGGAAAGGTTATGTGGATGTAATCAAAGCTGGGTAAGATGTGAGAGGGAATATTAAGCAGTGCTGACTGCTCAAATCAACAGTGCCGATTTGTGAATTCAGCACACACTAACTCCTAGAATTGTTTTCATTTGTCGTCATCTGACTGGATATAACCTGTTGGATCATTCACATTTTTATGATAATTATGGGGAGGCTTTTTTTTTCTTTTTTTCTTAATATATATTTAAAAAACTACCCCCCCCCCCCCATGACATGAACAATTTCAACAAAACAGGTAAACACAAAAGGTCACACAGTAACCAAAATGCTCAAATAAAAACCTATTTATAAATGAATAAGAAAAAATAAGTCCTCCTTCCTCACTTTATAGTAACTTACCTAAATTTATTAAAACCCTTTTTTTCCCCTGTGCTTTGGCACCTTACTAAGATTTATTTAAAAAAATCTGTAATTGACTTGTCTTACATTTGAAGAGTGGATAACATCCTGGTTAATACATTCCATTTTACCATAGTCATCCTTCCAGCCAGGAGACAAGAGTTTCCCACCCTAGTAGATCCTCCTTTACTTCAGCCACAATTGGTTCCAGATAAAGTTTAACCTTTTTTTGTTTTGTTTTTTTGTTTAAATGGCTGATTCTTGTTCCAAGATAAATTACCCCTGTCGGTGACCAATGGAAGGGGAGGTTACTAGGCCTAGGGTGGACAACTCCAGGCTTTGAGGGCCACAGTCCTGCAGGTTTTTGCAGTTCCCCTTCTCCCTCACAATGAGATCCACGGCTCTTGGAAACCATGTTTCGAAGAACTCTTTAGCGTTGTACCCCTCTGTGCGTTTCAGCAGGTTGACAATCTTTACATTGTTACGTCTGGATCTATTCTCATGGTCCTCCAATCTGTTTATGACCTCAGTGCGCTCCATTTTTGGTTCGTAGCTCGGTCACTGTGTCCTCTGTGTCAGCCATTCTTTGTTCCACATCCTCCACTCTTTGCTCTCATCACCTTCACATTTTCACAAAGAATTTACTCACTGCGCTATTTGGTCGGCTCTCGTGTCCAAGCCAGAGCTAAGCTTTGCAAAAGAGCCCCTTACTTATATTGTCAACAAGGCCATGTCCTCCTTCCCCCATTAAGTAGAGCTTTCTAGTTACTTGGTTCGACTGAATTCTACAATTTTTCAATTGCAGGGTTTGCTTGCTGGAAATCATCACTCTCCAGAGTCTTATCCGCATTAATTTGCCTTAAATACACCCAAAAAGCTTTGCTAACTCAGGAACTTGCCTACTCTCTCCGCATCACATGACCCCATTTGAGGAGAATTTTTTTTGTGTCTTTTTACTTATCTTTAGTGATGCAGTCATCTTTTCTGCCCACGTATTCAGTGCCTGAAGCTCTGTGACCTTTGCACGTGTTGAACAAAAAAAAAAACGCATTTACCATAATTGTCATTTCATTCAAGCCATTCCCATTTTTTTATAGGGCCCTTTATGTTTTTGTCTTCCTCTTCATAAAGTCATCATGGGCCAAAGTTTACTCTCACTCTGCATTTAAAGCATAATCTCAAAACTATTTCAGCAGATTGTCTGTTGAAATTGTTCTGTCATCTTTTATTTACAGAATTGTATAGATAAACCTTTTTTAACTAATCTACCTGCTTCTGTATTTTTTTTATTTCTGATACAGCTCTGAAGATAAAGCCTTGATGGTAGTTAAAGATCCCACCTTCCTCAGACCACCTCCCCCCTGCAAGCCTCTGGTTAACAGGACCAAGTGCATTGAGTAAGTAAAGCATTTTAAGATTTCCATTTACATAAAACCACAATATCTCCCAATTCTTAATTGTAATGAAAAAATGCATTCGGCAGGTTGGCCCATGAGTTGAGGGGTTGGATCCATCGTCATGAAGTGCAGCACACCAAATCGAGGCATATGAATAACAGCAATAACAAACCTGCCAGGACCATTTTGGTAACATGGGCTTACGCATTTATATGATACTTATATGATACTATTAAAAACTAAACCTTAGTCATCTTGTCTTGTCTTAGTCATCACTCTCAGAATCGAGGTGTTAGACTTAGACTCAGACCATCCTTTTCAGCACCATTTTACTTCCACTTCCACTCCTTTTTTCCTGCCTCTTATTTCTTGAACTCAGTTGTGTCCAGCAGTCATTGGAAAGTCCAGTCCACACCAATTAGTTAATGAACCCATTCTTTATACCACTGTTAACAATTAAGGTGGATGCCTTCACCTCTCTTGTGTTGAACGTTTTTTTTGTTTTTTAGCCTTTTAGCCCTAAAATCTCACTGTAGGATCAACCATTAGCTTCCTAGTTGTACTCTTTAAGTGGTGCAGCATTGCTTGATCTCTCATATAAACAGGACAATTAAAGACCTGACAATAAAACAAGTCACTCCTGTTAATAATAATTGCATTTTGTATTTTGGAACACTTTACATTTCTGAATTTGAACATTTAGAATTTACAATTCTAAAATAAAAAATGATCAAATCTGAAACTGACATGTTCAGGAGCTAATTCTGTTTTTTTTCCCCTGCTAGAAAACAGAGAACATGGAGAGTGAGAGTGCACAAATTGTAACCGTCCAATATGCAGAAAATACTGAGAAAAAGTGAGTAAAAGTCTGTTATGCTGCATCTCACATATTCAGACAATTAAATATTGTTTTTTGTTCCACATTGTGTTTACGGTACATTGTTTTTCCCTATAATACATAAAGTAGCTGTCGATACTCAAACTGATAAATGTAATCTCCATTTAAGAGTGGGCAAAGTGTGTGCATTTGATAAGGGGATTCTAGATTATGCTCCAGCTTTTTGCCCACACTGTACATAGATAGAATTGTGAAACCATTCAGAATGATTTATTGTTTCTAATAAGATTGAATAATTTTATTTTCCATCTGGATTTTTAGAGCTAGATTGAAAGACTTTTCAAATAAGACTTTTTAGCCAACTATAACAAATGGCTGTCAGCACCCGATAAGAACTGAAAAAGCCTAATCTTTTTTTAATTTCTCTGCAACTCCTTACCTCTCAACAGGAATCCAGGCAGTGAGCTACAAGTGTACTACGCACCTCAAGATGTCTACAGTGACTTTTTTGATGAGCTCAATCGCCGCCCCGACACATTCTACGTCGTGTCTTTCCGAAGGGTACGTTTCTAACACGACTCAAAGCTATACCACAAAAAAGAGTTAAAGATTCTGAAAAGAGCATACAGCACACGTAAAATAATCTAGAGCATGACGCCCTGCATGTCCTGGCTGGAGATATCTTTAAGGCAAATGATGTGTGAAGACATGTACAAGGCCCCAATCACATTGTATGTATATACACATTTTTTTTCATTTATTTTTTTAATTAATCAGGACAGTGCACATTAATGAACAATCTCATACAGACTGTAAATGAGCCAGATTCTAGCATAGTTGCTAATTCCATATGTCGTCCTGAGGCAGGAAGACAAAACAACACAAAATCACATAATACAATATCAGCTAAAACAGAGAGACACACGTTCAGACAATGACATTAAAAAATTAAAATTAGTGATTGCATAACTGGGAACTTTTGAGAAACAGTTTAGGGTGCTTTTTAAATGTGTAAAAAGTGGGACCTTCCCTGGTGTTTTTTGGGAGGCTGTTCCAGAAGTGACCCCCTCTGACTGATAGAATGGTTTGTCCAAAGGTTGTTCTTCTGTGGGGGATTTCTAAGTCTCCTATGGAAGAGGCTGTGGTGCAAGTACGTCTGCCAGGTCTAATGTAGGTAGAAAGTGGAGGTGGGGCTAATCCATTCAGAACTTTGTAAATTCAACTATTTTTATAATGAATAAAGTTTTCAAAACTGAGCATATTATATTTTTCCAAAATATTACACTGATGGAATGACAGGGGCTTTTGATCAAAGATTTTTTGAATAAAATTTCTATTGGTTTTAAAGTTGTCTCCAGTGACTGAGTAGGTTGTGATGCAGTAGTATATGTGTGAAAATATCATTGAGTGTAGGAACATTTTAGCAGAACATTCATAGTCAGTTGTTCTACAGTTAAACTGCCCCTCTTCATTGAGTCCAACCAATGGGCAAAAAAGTGTTCAAGCGTCCTTCAGTCTGCTAGTCCAAAGACCAGTAGTAATATGTAAAACATGACGTTCCCTATCTGTTGATTCAGTCAGTACAATACACTGTATAGGTGTTGTGTATATATAGCAGCCATTTATTATGAGCCAACCACCAAAGTGCCTGTCACATCCAAAAAGTAAAATTGAAGAAAAGTGTGCAGTGATGACCAACTGGCTGCAGCATAGACATCATTAACAGAAACCTCTCTAAACCAGTATGAAAGGCAGAAGCAGTGGCTAAAATTCTTTCTTTAAAAAGAGATACAAATATTCTGGAACCCCTGGAGAAATGACACAACACTCACAAAAGGAAGAAATTAAGTTGGACACCTCAACAGATAGGCACACAAGGTTGGGGGTTGGGTTGGTATTTTGTGCTTTAAAGAAGAGATCCTGGTAGATGGGAATCTCCCAGTGCCTTGCTGCCAGATGGCTGATTGTCTTGGCACATGATTCCTTCGTGGGGCCGCCAGTGTCAAGGACAGACCCTTTCTACACATCCTCTCCATAACAAAACAGGCAGTAGCATTTCCATGAGTGGAAACCTATACAACAGCACCCTTGGCCAAGGATGAAGCAGGACATCCATTTCCAGAGCTGTGTTCTGACCCATTATGGAAAAGAAGACTGGGAGTGACTGCTGGTCACAGTGGCTTTGCCCTAACCCCCTTAGAGAGACATTCTTAACCAGCCGAGTGGCGCAAACCTCAGACACCATCTGTGGTCTGATTGTATCACCAAATGAAAATAAGTTTATGTAAAATTGATTGTTGCAAACCGATCTCCCAGGAAAGTAATTTCTTTCCATAGACGGAACCCCTTTTTTGGCCAGTATCACAGCGAAGTGGTCTGTAGTTTATTCCTCAGAGGCGTCAAGTCTCTCTGCATGCCTGGAGGTGGGCCCTTACTCCAGGCTGACTAGCGGGAAAGAAGGTCCGGGGTTCCACAGTTTCACGTCTGGGTATACACACTGAACGCTACTTCTGTTTGTCCCTTTGGCTCATGTTTATGGCGTCCAGTGACTGCCCAACCATCCCAAATTTAGACAACAGCTCATCCAAACACACAACCCTGTCCCTGGTGTGGGGACTTCACTAACGGGCAGCCACAGCTAGCTCTGTGCCACCACCGTGGACGCCATGCCTTTTCTCAAGGAGCGAGCCAAAGTGCTGGACACACAAAGATGTAATCCAAGGCTATCCTGATCTCTACAACAAGGGATGCCAGTGTGTGCTCCACGGTTAATCCTGCTCCAAGCTCCTAGTCAGTTTCGGCCAACCCCACATACTCCATGTGTGGTCTTTCCAGTTACTAACAGGGACATGGACCAAAAAACTCTGAAACCAGGTGTCAAGACTCCAAAAGTATTCTTTATACTCCTGCTCATACTTGTGGTTTGTGTTGAGTGCTCAAAACGCTTTATTTATGACCTTCCTTACATCATAAATACACATTTCTTAAGTTCCATGTCCTATGTATTGTTTAAAAAACAACAACTCTTTTAATGGAATCCTTTGTGGTCAATTTGTTTTTTTTTTAGATACAGACATTTTAAAAATGGCATATTTTCGAGCTGTCCTTAATATACTGTGATATTGCGAAACCTTGATATTTTTGCCTAAGGTTATCATAATGTCAGAATCTTTTATTGGCCTATGCATAGTTATCAAAAAAAGTGTTTCTAGCAAGGTTAGGAGCACAAGAACTTGAGAATGACTGTGATGACCACCGTATTATAGTGCACGTGGGGCTTCACACTTTACCGTACATTATTTGCCTAAAGGCGTCATTAGAGGGTCTTCAGCTAGAATGTGTGAGGGAGAAACATCCTATGCAATGCCAAATGTGCTGGACTGAGTGAATCATCTGAAATGGGACACAGCATTTATCAGCAGCAGACACTCTCCAGTTTTTCTCATTTCATTTTGACCTAATGTTTGACAGTACAGACCTGGTCACGACGGTTTCTCCTCTGTTTTCTCTGTAGCCAGGACAACGCATTCTGCCAAAACAATTTGACGCCTCAAACAGTTATCACACCAGTACTTCGGGGAGAAAATACAATTTCAGCTATTGTTGACCTAAAAGTAAAAAATGCACAGAGCGTTCCGGTCTATCAGGATCAATCAAAATAAAGATGCCATCACTCTGAAGTCCTAACAGAAACAATAAATACAGTGGTGTTTTTTTTCTTATTTGGCTTCATTAGCCCTGTAACTCAGTTTATTTGCCTGTATTTTGTTTCCCAGGTTTCACTTGTGTGATTTTGTGTCTGTGTGTGTGTGTGCCTCTGTTTTTGGTTCCAGTTCCAATGTTATTACAAAGCTGTGTATCAACTTTTGCTCGTTTAGATTAAGCCAATCACCACTGATTCTCACTTTTTATCCCTCCAGGAAAAAATGTTTATCATGGCCCGTTCTGGTCACTCACTCCAGCTTGAGTTAAGGCGGTGCTGAACAAATGGTCATGTTTGGAATAAAGTTACTGCAGGTCTTTTTTTCCCAGCTTTGTCTCTGTTTCAGTGTGGGACAGAGTGAGCGAGTGGAAAACAAAAGCTTTCAAGAAGGAAAAAGCTCCGCTATCCTTGTTATGCTGTTAGTTTGTGGTTTTGCTGCACCGTTTGCATCTGTGTCCTGATGTCTGTGCATCGAGGGGAGGCTGTGGAAAAACTGGTGGCTTTCAGTGCTGCTCCTATCCAATAAGCTTCAAGGAAATGTCAGCTTTTGTCACGGCTGCTGCAGCTTGGGAGCAATGTTGACAAGCTGCTCTTTGACAATGAGCACATACGTAGCTGTTGTTTTTCAGCCTCTAATCAGAAAAGCACGCAGCGCTGTCTCTTACTCAACAGTTTATCAATTTTCCAGGAAAGCTCAAATATCTCAAAGAATACCCAAAATACAATTTTTAAAGCATAATGGGCCGTAGGAGTGATGCACATTTCGAGACGTATCCTCCCAGCATTTCAGAATTACTTTTTTTTATTATAGGGACTTGAGTCATTTTGACCCCAGACTTATTGCGCTTTAATCAACTCTTAACAGTAATTAGCTAAACATTAGCCAAGTTTTGGACAATCGCTTTATATTACCGTCTTAATTCATGTGAATCAGACATAATGTGTACTTTTTGGATTTGGTTTAGCTTTTGACATATTGCATACATATTTCAAAGTCTATGTGTGGGTCTTTGCCTTAGAATATCAACACCAACTCAAGTTTGATGGTAAATTGAGCTCACTGATAAACTGCTTGTCAGCAGATTGTTTGACTCCATTGTAATGTAATTTCCCCCTTTAATGCCTGTGTTCTTTTTTTTTCGTTGCTTCTTTGTTTCAGGATCATCTTCTACTTCCTGCCACCAATCACAACAAAGGGAGTCGACCCAAGATGTCATTGGTGTTGCCAGCCATGAACATAAATGGTAAGTGCTGGGGCAGAGACATAACAGTTAGGGAGTTTGATCCCTCAAAAGTGGCAACAGATGAGACACAAGCTGGAGAGGCATTCACAAACACATCTCACCACATGAAATGCAATACCGGTGATCTTGTTTTCTCTTTCTTATTTAACAAAGTCAATTTTGCCAACCGTAACCATTGCAGCCAACTGAACATCTCCATCAAGACTGCAGCATTTTGGTCTCGGTGGGTGGCAGTCAGCGTGTGCTTGGTTCTGTTTTTGTGTTTGCTTTTTACCAGCCCATTTGAGAGGCGGTCACCCTTTTATTTGCACCTCTGCCCCCAAAAGCAAACATGCAAGAAACATTTTAACAGCAGTGCACAAAAAGCCCCTTTGTACACACGTTTGGAGTAAAAGCCGGAGAAAAAAAAAGAAGAAAGTTATATTTTGCACATTATTAAAGTATTTACTTGTTCTTGATTTTTTTTTTCCAGCACTTTCTAATTTTCCGCCATGGCCTTAAGTCAAGTAAAGGTTAGACCATCAGAATTTTCTGTGGAAAGAGGTTCTATGTGGTCACATTTTAATATACATAAGTTTGCAAAACCATTTGTATTGATAGGGATGAGATGGTATGAAGGCAGACTGCTATCAGCCGAACTGGCCATTTTTATTAGAGATAATAGTGCTCTGTGGTATTTCCCTGTCTGTGTCAGAGTTCAGTGTAGTATTTTACCCTGGGAGGAGCCAGTCAGTAGGATATGTAGCCTTTGGTCAGCAGGGAGGATGCAACCATTGAGATTTTTTTCTCCTGGGAGAGGTGTTCTGGAATAAGACGGATGGTGTTAAATATTGTTTTTGGTTCATCTTGTCAGGGAGGAATGTCGGGGTCCATTTTTATCAGATGGCTCATTGAAATGGCAGCAAACACTGAAACCAAGGCTTCCCTTTAACTCACAGTTGAAGTACCTAAATGAAGACGACATTCATTCCCATAGCGAGGAAAGAAAAGAAAAACAGGCTAAAGGAGGCCGACAAAGAAAAAGCCGGTTCTCCTCCCTCTGTAGCACAGCACATGTACGTTGTGTGTACCCTTTTTCCACATTAAGTTCCAGCTTTCTCACCAAGGCCTTTCAGGTTGATGTAGTCTTTGTTTGACATTGTGAGGAGATTGTGAAATGTATATATTATGTAGACTCAACTGGCCGACATCCTTAGACATGATTGCTCCACACAGGAAGATAATTCTTTCCAGCGCCCTGCTGCTTCTGTCCATTAGGAATGTCTACCCTCTATATTCACTAAATGGTTATCATCTGGAGGAAGGGGATCGAGTTACACCAATCTGAAGCAATTCTTTAGTCTGTCTCGGTCAATCACTGGACATCAGAGATAAACCAGCATCTCCTTCTGTATTACCTTTTGTCCACAGTTTAGGGGCCATGTTTAATTTAACCCACTGATTTGCTCAGAAGGTTTATCTGGGTAAGAACTGGCCAAGGTTGTTTGTTAGTTGGTCGAACCCCTTTAAGATGTTATTAAACTTGCTGATTGCTTACTTCCTTCCTTCTTAATGCAAATTGGGGGGAAGCTTCCTTCATGAAAGCTCCAAATAAGACGAGCAACATCCCACTGAGGTGCTCTTACAGGCCCCTTATCACACACTAAAACCTAATAGAATCATTCCAGATGGCACCAGTAAAAAAGGGGAAATAAATAATAAATAGGATGGTAGGTTTGGCTGCTTTTTCAAAAAGCTTTTATTTAACCGTGGACATTGCATTTGGAAGTGTTTAGGCTTTTTTGGGAAGAGTTGGAGATTCATTTGGTTTTGGTTTTCAAGGGAAGGCTAAAAAACAAAACTCTTGACTACAAAAAACAAGTCTACAGTTCTAATTACTGACCACACATTAAATTGTGCATACAGAAGTGAAAGAACTTAAATCTTAAGTTGAAATCGAATGCAATTTTCATGATCTGCAACTTGTCTTTCTGCTGTAAAACGTTAGAAAACAGAAACAGGTTGATTTCCTGACAGATGGATCAGGACAAACAAAATTAACCCCAGACACATAGGATGACGTAAGAATTTGTTTAAACACTGAAGCCAAAAAAATGCAGCCGTTTCACTAAAGGTGCAAATGTGGATGCTTAGCTGACAGATGAAGTCACACTCACCACCTAAACCCTCCATGAAATCTGCCAGATCTTAAAGTAGCCGCCATATGGTCTTTTAGAAAAATCTGCCGGGCTCTAGCTGCTCCATTACGTCCCTTTAAATCACACATTAAAACCAGAGAAACCCGATACCTTGCAGGTGTTTCAGAGGGGAAATACCGCTGCTTTTAAACTACTTTCATTGCTTGGGCTGCTCCTACAGCTTCGATTCTGGGTCAGAGAAGAGCGCACTGAAACCGAGAGAGGTGTTGCCCTAGATATGGAATGTCACCTCCACAGACAAAACAAGGAAAGCCTCACATATTCAACTCATCTGTAGTTGTAAATTCACACAGAATCACTCTGTGAAAAGAAGTCTTGGTAAAGAATTTTGCTAGAGGTTCCACTTTAAAGGGTATTTCCTAAGACTAAGTACCGTTTGGCTGTGGGGGACCACAGACCATGACCTCCCAGGAAGAAAGCCAGGCTGAATTTCTTAAGAGAAAGCCAAAGTAATTGCTTGTTTGGAACTTAGGATGACTTTGAGAGAACATACATTCTTCAACTTTGACAACCTGTACACCCTTTTTTGGTTGCTGGGCTTTTTCGCACACAGGAATCCGACTCGTTATCTTAGATTACTTTCAGTCTTTCGGCTCCACTTCTCGGAGCACAACATACCCTTTTAATCCCTTCTGTACTCTTGTAAGACTCCTCATTTTTTCCCCCTCTTAAATTTGCATGTCCTGCTCTTGTTGAGGGGCTGTTTTGTTTATCTCCATGACGGAGAAATCCAGAGTGTGACTCACCTCTGTTCTCCATCTGTTACCCAGTCTCGTAACTGCTTTCCTCAGTCTCACATTTCGGTCCTTACCCTCCCAAAGTACAATCTATTGTATCTCACGAGTAAAAGAAAAAGTCTTTCAGCAACTGTGATGAAAAAAAAATCATCCAGTTGGCAAGCCCAGTTTATGTCTTAAGTTGATTTAATCATTTGTCATGGTATAAATTCCTCAGTGTAATAGGGGAGAAATTCATTAGGTCAAAAGCTAAAAGCATTCCTCTTTTCTTCTTACAGACAAGATTATAAGGGACAAAGAGTTTGAGGTGATGATGCAGATCGACTGTGAAGTTTCAGACACCAGGATCCTACACATCCGATCCTCCAGCATCCCACCATTGTTGCGGGTCAACCACTCGGACACGTTTTACCAGCACTTCCCAACTGAGAACAAGTCTGCGACCCCCGTTGGCGAGCTGGTGGGTTCCTCATAGGACCGCGACCAACGCCTGCTATGTCTCCTCAAAAAAGAGACAAAAATTTAAAACAGGTCAAGCCTGCATTTTAGACATTTTTTTTAAATAAACCGATGAAGAACATTGTAAATCTTGGGGTTTTTCCACTAACTTTGTGTGTGTTATTTTAATGAAAATGCTCACCAGAATTAAAGTCACAAAAAGAACTTTGTCCTCTCAGATACTGTGGAACATATTCTGTCACCAGGCAAACATCTAGAGGTGGTCTGGATTAAGGTCCAAGCAAAGGCTGGCTCCTTGTGTGGGAGCGTTGTTTCTCCCTTTGTCCTTTTAAGTGTACTTGTTTAGGAGAAGGCGGTGGAGCATTGAAACACCAGTCAACACAAAATCCTCAACAAAATTAATCAAGAGCAATCAATGTGGACGTACAAGCGGTTTGTAATGTCACTTTGAAATCGAGTGCTGTGATTTTCTATTTCCATCCAAATGAGGGGGCTACCTGCCACAAACGAGGCATTCAATGAATTCAGGAAGTTGGATTATGTGAAAACTGGCTGGCTAACCTCTTCTGTTAGCTGACATCTACAGTAGGTTTCAGACTATAGATCTCATATGCTCATAAAGAATGATTTCCCTAAAAAAATGTAAAAAAATTATTAAAAAAATCCGGTGGTGTTTGCACTGTATCTCACATACATTCATGAACAGATTTTGATACTTTATTTATTATCAATATTACCCAAAAGTTCATGTCTGTGTATGAATTGTGTGTTCTGTCTGATTTCTTCTTGTTTTTTTTTTGTTTGTTTTTTTCATTTAAAAAAAATAATTATGTGAAGTTTTCATTCCAGTTGACCTCAGTGACGTTGTAAGTCAAATTTTAAAACAAGTGCCGAGAATGTGAATTATTGATAAGATTTTGGTTATGAATAACTGGTTTGATATCTGGAAAGTTTATTCCAAGAAAATCATCCTTTCATCTTCCATTATGTTAGATATTTGATTTTTAAAATTTGTTTTTTGTACTGAAATTCAAACCAGCTTTTGGGATTTCTGTTTTGAATCATATGACTTTTTAACTAATTTGGGGTAAATTTTAGTTTTACACATGCAAAACAGATGTATAAATCTTGCTTTCAATGCCCTAGATTTGTTTTGTTTTTGATAAATGTAACTTAGATTTTTCTTCGTTCTCTAAACTGTGTAAGCAGAAGTAGTTCTTGGCTAGTTCCGTATAGATAAAATGGCATCTACTTTTTAAGTCTTCATTTTAGTCACTGGTTTGTGTACATGTTAAGTTTAGCTCAACAGGTTTAAAAGTTTTGTGTTTTTCATTGCTGGCCCTCTTTGTGTAATTTCCCTTTGTTTTTCACTGAATTACTTGTCAAAAGTTTTGCCATTAATATAACAAATGTACAATTGACCATTTATGTGGCTTTGTTTTTTTTGTTCTATTGTGTGCTTAAAATAAATACACACTGGATTTTCTTAAAGTATATCTGTGCGTGTACTGGTGATCTATTAAGGTATCGCTTTCATTTTTTTTTTGTTCAATGGCTACATTTTCATCAAGTGTCTCTGAATTACAGGTTGGAACATCCACACTTTTTCCTCTCATTTCTTGACATTGCGCCTTCCTTGTAGTTCCTCCCAGTTAATGCTACAAATCAAATTAAAACTACCTTTAAATCTGAGGTTTTACCACTTAAGGACAAGATCCATCATTAAATATTCTGAGATGTATTGCAGTATACTTAATGCGTTTAAATATGGTAGGTATAGGAGGGTGAATAGTGTAGGTTGTGATAGAAGAGAAACTAATTTTTATTTTTTTTATGAACAAGATAGGGTTTATTTCATAGGAAAAAATATATATACATTTTTTTTTATGAGAGAAAGATATGAACAATTTGTTTACACAAGTCACTGACTTGATCAAGTATTTCAGTATATAAAGTAAAACTTGTTTGACTGGTAATAGGGTCGCTGTTTTATTCATTTCAGGCACAGATTTTTAGAAAAATTCCTAATATGGAACAATTAAAACATTATTGCTAAATATATATGTACATTTGGCCCCGTATATCTCCCTACAAAGGCCCATTTGGACTGATCTACAATCCAAAGAAAATTTCAAGCTCTCACTAAGGGTCTACATAGGCCAACTTGATGTTATATGTGACTTGGTGTCCATTATCCCATGCATACAAAACACCTTCTTTAGGATTGTAGTCAACCTGAGTGGTGTAGGTGTAGTTGTTGATGAAGGGCATTCTGGGAGTCATTTGAGTATTTGTGTGTGTGTCGAAGGCATATTCTAGGTTGGCGACCTTTTGGTTATAGCTGTCAACAGCGTAAAGCACACCGCACACCACAAAGCAGTTCCCGAAACTGTTCCTTTTAAGTCCAGTTCTCCAAGTGGTCTCCCGCCGCATGCTGAGGTCCGTGGGGTCCAGACGGCTCAGGACCACCACCTCCTGTAAGAACCCCTCGTCGTCTAGCGCCGGGTAGACAATCCACAGGCCGCTCTCGTCGACGGCAAAGTCTATGTCCGAGAAGCTGCGCCACTCCCAAGGTGACGAGGACTCCTCGATCAGGGCGTCGTGCAGCATGGTCCAGGCGGTCACGTAGCGCTGCCGCAGATCGTACTTGATGATGTCTTGGGAGAAGGCCCGGTTGTAGTAGAAGGCCCCGCCGTACACCACGTGGCCTGTCCCGATCCAGTTGTAAGGAAGCTTGTAGGAGTTGGTGAAACGGCCTTGAACGAACAAACAAAACAAAAAAAGAAGAGGAAACAGCCTTGAGCAGATAGAAAATCTGAAACTAAAGCAAGTCTTATACGATAACCTTGTGGTCTTACCTTTCTTGAAACTCTCCAAGGTGTAGAACTCTAAGAGGTTGTTTCCGTAGTAGTAGTTGGTGACATATATTTTGTTATCCGCAGCCTTTGGGTCCTTCATCCAGGCTCCCTCAGTCTTGCCATATGTGTTATGAGTGACTGGCTCAGAGATGGTTGCCAACGTGTCCTTACATTCCCCTGTGAGAACCCCCCCCCCAAGAGGTATGAGCTTGTATTAAAGGCAGTTTAACATCCTCCAGGTATACCCCACGAAGTCTGAGAATAATTGGAGGAGCGTATAGAAATAAACCCATTTGTTTTTCTGCTACTGAAAAACTTTAGACAAAAAAAAACTCTTTCCATATGTGGCAACAAAACTGAATTGAATATTTGATAGTTTCCAGTTAAACTCCTAAGCAGCATTTTCGAGATACTCTTGTGGAGGCTGCATGTGACCAGAAGCACAGATTTATTTACTACTTACCAGGTTTCTTTGAAGTTGATTCCTCTTGTCTCTCGTTTGGTTCGGCAGTATCCAAGTGTCCTTTGCCCTCTTCCTTCTCCCAGCTGTATTTCTGTTTGACCTGAGGGGTCTGTCTCGGGGTGCTTGTAACGGTGGCTGAGGACGAGTTCGGAAAAGAGGTGGAATTTCTTTCTTTTTGTTCTGCTACAGCCCTGGCCTGTGTAGAGGGTTTTGGAATTTCAGGAGCTGGGGTCAAAAGGCTCTGGGCCGCGGTAGTTGTAGCAGCAGATGGCGGGCTGGTGACTGAGGCTACAGAATCGGGACGTTGTGTTAGATCGCTCGGTACTGTACTGCCCAGTAAGGCTTGCGTACGGTCTCCCAACGGAACATCGGAGGTTCCCGTCTCGGGAACATGTGCATTTCCGGTTGCTGATGTCGGGAGCATTTCTTTTGTGGAGTTATTGTCAAACTGTTGTGTTGTGTTTGTTGTAGTTCGGGCTATTTCTTTAAGTGTGATGGCTGAAGAAGCAACTTCTGGAGTTGGCGACACAGTGATCCCAACTGTAACTCCTTGAGTAGGCTGAGGATTTGCGTTTGTCATCTCGAGGTTGAATATTTTGCCGGTTGGACTAAAACTGACGCTTGGCATCAACAATTTGTCATCCGTGGAAGCTGGTTTAGTTGTATTGTCAACGGTATCCTCATCAGGAGTTACTGAGATGGACTCAGTTTCTTCTGTTTCTATTGACAGTTTTGTCATCCTTCCATGTATCGAACCTCCTGTTTTCTGTCCTGCTGCCGTTTTGTACCAAGGCGCTTTGTGTAAGAGAAGGTCCTCTTCGATGAGAAGGTCGGGTGAACCATCACCACTGAATCCATGATATTCAAAATCTAGTAATAGGAGAGAGGAAAGTTTAACCCTATAATGGCAAATGTATCATATTTGATACATACGGTTTCTGAAATGTTTTGCATCACCTTTTGCATAATTTAATGGTAAAAACTGCTCAAAATCCTATTGCACACAATAGTAATAAATAGTAATGAATAATTCATATTATAAATGTATTCCTGTTTTTTCTTTTTACATATTTTGTTTAAAGGCCAAACAAGGAATTCAAGCCAAAAAAAAGTAATTTTCTGTTTTGTTTTATTTTTGGATCAGGCTTTAAAGGGTTAAAAACGTGGCACAAGGAATAGATATTAAATATTGTTACTTTTTTTTAAAAGTATGTAATAGTGTAAAGTTACTGTCCTATGCACATAAACAGTAGAAGCCACCGCATCAAACTCCATTGTAATTGGACATTAATGAACCCAAATGAGTCGCTAATCCCTCTTACTGTTAATGCTCGACTACTTCTGGACATCAAATCATGCGATTATCTACTAAAAAGATAGATATCTACTAAAATATAAAGATTTCCTGAGAGCTGAGTTCTGTTTTAGACTTACAGTTCTCTCCGGGATCCCCATCATCCGCCACCATAGGCTCTGCCTCAGATTTATAAAAAGTCCTTCTGATGACTTCCCTCGCGGCAGTCTTCCACTCCCTTGACGTCTCCCTGTCAGCCATGTTTTTTGGAGTCACCTGAGGTCTGACCTCAGCGACCTGACCAGAGCCATCTGTCCGTGTGGAGGGGGGATTTTCCACAATAAACCCTCCGTCATACTTCTCCTGTTAGTAACAGACACACATGACTTCCATGAGGAAAAATCCTTGACTTCGTAATGAGGTGAGACCGATACATCTGTTTGGTGATTTTCACGTTTTTTTTTTTTTACCAGGAATTGAATAACCATTCAGTGAAAGAGGAAACTTTTAAGCAAGCCTTACTTGGAACATTTTTTTTAGTTTTTAATATAATTTTCTTTCAGATTTCTTTTTGGGTGATTCTCCAGTTTTCCTGAGAAACATATCAATCTTGTTAATTAGTTTTATTGTCATTCCATGAACCAACTTTCAAGTTTATATTAAAACTGTCAAGGACTGTCAAGGCCCAATGAGGCTCCTGCTGGTCTCCTATTGTTCCTTGATCCTGCCAAACTTTTCATGAATCTCATGAACACTTGACTTTGACAAATTTGTAGTAAAAATACATACATAGCTTTTAAGGGACATCAGAGGTCTGAGTAGCAACATGTAAAGCAAGTACAAGCTGTATATGTCCACAAAAAATAATTGATCACTTTCTCTTGTGTTAAGTTGTATTAACTTTGTTTTTTTCAGTACACAACTATGTTTTCATAGGAACTCAACATGTTAACAGTAAAATCTGTGAAAATATGCCAGTCTTACCTCGGGGATGCGATAAGCTGAGGCTCTTCCATCCTTATCAAGCCCCAGCTCAGGCTGAGGAAGAGCAATAGATGGACTTTCAATCAGTTCTAGCTGGCTTGGAGGACTCTCTTGTGGCTTCCCGTCATCCACAGTTTGGTTTGCAGACACCACCTTTATGGATTTGGGTACAAATTCAAATCTGAATGCCACTTTGTGCAAATTTAGAAGAGAGATTTTCTATAAATGTAAAAATCTAAGGGAAACTGGACATGCATCATCCATTAACTTTACATTCTCAGCATAACATATATATATATATAACATGGATAGAAAATAAAAATAAAAGTTTAACCTAAACTCTGAGGTTAACTTCTCAGCTTTAAACATCATACTAAGCAATAGATGGAAACACATATAATACAAACACGTATAAGGCGAGGGACTTGTGTTAATATTCAACTTGGCATCGTGTTTAAATTGACAGTACCTTATTGATGTGATCCACGCATTCTAAGAGCTTACTGGTAATGGAGTGCTGCTTCAACAAATCCATTCCAGAGAAGGAGCGCTCCAACACTTCCAGTAGAGTTGACAGCTGCAATAATCAAATAAATAGACGAATTTACTCATTCACGACGTACCATGCGTAAAATAATCCCTTTGACAACTCTTTAGATGGTTTACAGAATTGAGTGTTAAAACACCCTTTATTGGATGTTCCCAGATGAAATATCCAGTTGTCAAATACTGACTCTGCCAATACACCAAGTGGTCACTGCTACGGACAGCGGGGTATTTCACCTGGAAATGTTCGTTTCCAGCCTCCCCGGGTTTTTTAAGACTGGATTGCCCCTCACAAGGGTCGACCGCCGACGGAGGTGTGTTGCATGTGCACTTGCAGTCCGGTCCTGAGGCGATTGCCTCCACGGTGTAGAAATCCTGGGACGACGCACCCCCGTTTTCCGTCCCCCGACATGCGCTCCTGCTCGGGGGTCTGACAACACATTTACACCGGCAGTCGGAGCCTTCCGAGAGGGCTCTCACCTTGTCAAATTCCCCCAGCAGCTACAAAGAGAAGATAATTAGTTTGTGTTCTATATTTGTTTGTTTGTTTGTTTTTGTTTCCACCATGCGCAAATAAATCCCACAACAGGCCACAGAAAAGATTTGTGGCCTCCCTCACGAACCTGTGAGATGGAGCTCTCTTCACCCTCAATCTCCTCTTGCAGTAAATCACTTTGCTCCGCGCTTCTCTCCAGCTGAGACCTGGAATCTGAATTCAAAAGTTTTGGAGCTCCGGAGCCTCGTGAGAAAAGCGCAAAGCACGCCACGACGATAACGCATAAATTACGCATGCTGGAGCTCCCAAATCCTCCGCAGATGTAACAATAGCCCACTGCCGTTATGCAAAGCACGCGCAGCCTGTCACAAGCCCCTGAGCATTCAAGAAAACTTTCACAGCAATTCCACAAAACAAATCCCAGAGAACTGCGTCCAAAAATCGATCGAATGGGAGCATCAAGATTTCCAACGCGATCTCATCCCTCATGCCCACAATGAATGACAGTTAATGAGGGTTGAATAAATGCGTTGTCAATAAGGGATCGACTGGTGTCGTGTCAGTGCTTATCCCCGCCAGGAATTGTATCCCCGTCCGCGGGAGCGCGCATTCACTGGGCGCAACGCTTAGGAACGAAATGCAAATCTTGCAAACGACTGCTCCCTGTTTCCAAGCAAAATAACATTGTGTTGGTTGTTTAATGCATGCTTTAAAAAGTTAATTTGATCATCTTTTGAAAACCTTTAATACACGGATGTCTTCTCGTCGATGGCAGTGCAGCAAAAGTGTCCAATAACACGCTGCAAGAAGTTTAAGACTGTCGCTTTTTCTCCGGTTCAGTAAGTTCACTTTTGACTAAACTTGAATAAACTTGAATAAACTTGAATAAACTTGAACAAATATAATCTTCTTCTTCACTTATATTGAAGCTGTGACTTTTTTCCCAGATAAAAAAATAATAAGATTATCATGGTGTTTATGTTGCTTTGTTTTAACAATAAATAAAATGTAAGTTCTTCATGTCACACGCTTTGTCTGCGTTTGAGAAAATACATTGATGATTTATCTATCAAGTTCTGTCTTTTTTTAATACAGTTACATAGGGGGTACACATTCTGGCATCCAGCCTGACAGAATTGGATAAACTTTTTATTTTTATTTGAAAAGAAAAACTTACAGATTCAATAGAAGTACAGGAGCAAATTAGTCTTGACCCAAATTTAATCTCAAATAAACCTACTGAATTTGAGAAGCAGCGACAACCATCACAGAATATCCCGACAGTCTTGCAGTCTAAACTTCTTACAGCGTGTTATTGTACACCGTTGCTGTGCAGGATTAGTGTAATCGACGTGAAGGCACGCGAGCTTTTAAGGTTTCCAAAAGATTCTGAGACTGATTATTAAGGCATGTTTTGAACAACCAACGCACAGTCAGTCTGGTTTGGAAATAGGGAGAAATAGTTTGAAAGACTTCCAATTCGTTCGTGAGCTCTGCGCCAAGTGAGTGCGCGCTCCCGCGGACGGGGATACAATTCCTGGCGGGGATAACTATTTTGGCACGACACCTGTGTCCCTTCACGCTGCAGAAAAGTTGTCAGGAGGCGGACCTGATACTGTCGAGGAGTAGGCATGCTCTGAAACATTTCTAAAACATAGTGTTTGACTCTTTACCTATAGTGAGGAAAATAGGTTTTCGAACACTCTGCGACTTTGCAAGCTTAGAAATAATCGAGGTGTCTGAAATGTTGTCTTTTCGGTGCATGTCCACAGTGGGAGACATAATATGAAAAATTTTTAAAATCCAGAAAACACAATGTAAGATATTTTATAACACCCCCAAAGCATGATGCTTCCACCCCCATGCTTCACAGTAGGGATGGTGTTTTTGAGTTTTGGGGATGGTACTCATCATTCTTCATCCTTTAAACACAGTGAGTTAAATTAAGATCAAATAGTTATATTTTAGTCTAAAAAAAAGGTTATATTTTTGTCCTCAAAAATGTTCTATTTTTGTCTCATGTGACCACAGAATTTTCTCCCATGACTCCTCTGGATCATTCAAATGGTCACGGGCAAACCTAGGACAGGCCTGGACGTGTGCTGAATTAAGCAGGGGAAACTCCTGAGCCATGCATGACTTTAAACTATAACTTCTTAGTGTATTATCAACAGTAACCTTGGAAACAAGGTTCCTGTCGTGTGTTTCTGGGCTGATTCCTCAGCTTCGTTAACACGCCACGAGGTGAGAATTTGCATGTAGCCCCTGTTCGAGGGATGTTGACAGTCATGTTGAGCTTTTTCCATTTTCTAATGATGGCTCCAGGCTGCTCAATTATTTCCCCGTAGCCCTTTCCAGCCTTGTGGAGGTGTACAATTTAGTCTGTGGTGTCTTTGACAGCTCTTTGATCTTAGACGTGTATCTTTATGCAGCTAGCTACCTCAAACAGGTGTCTCTAATTTGGACTTTTAGAGGCGGACTAAAAGGTTTTTCGAGGGCCAGAATTTTTGCTGATTTTCAGGTGTTCAACTACTGCAGCAGTAACACACAAATATATTTTTAAAACATCACACATTGTGATTTCTGGATTCTTTTTTTTAGATTATCGCTCTCACAGTGGAGATGTACCTCAGATGACAAATTTAAGACCCCTCGATAATTTCTAAGTTGGATAACTTAGAAAAATACTTATTTTCCTGACTATACTTACAGTCACTCTCAGAACCTTCATCAATTCACACATGATGTGAAACAAAAAGTGGTATTTTAGTTCCACTTGCTTCCTGTTGTACATATGATGCAACTCTGTCTTTCCAGCCAAGGTTTAGCTTCCCTCTGCTTGCAAAATTGTCACTCCAGTAATACGCATTTAAAATTTAGAAATGTTTATTTCGATTTTAAGGCACATAAAATGTATATAATAACAACAGCTGCTTGTTTCATTGTATTACTAACTATGGTGTGACATACACATCCTCTGTGTCTAAAAAACAAACAAACAAGAAAACCTGATTTTCCAGTTAGGGCATGTTGTGCCATGTAGGTTTGGAAATTACAGAATTTTTGTTTTTGCTTTTCACAAAACGAGCCTCTGTGATCTTGTAATTTTCCAAATAATAATCATATACAGATGTATATAATCATATACAAATAAGAATCATATACAACAATTACAAGTGAATTTACATTTTCATTGTGCAACTCATCTGTAATTAAAAAACTATAAAGTGCAAAAAAACTTTTCCCAGGATTTGTTTGAGTTTCCACTTATCAGACTCAGTGTTTTGTTTATATATATTTGTAAATAGCCCACTCCAAAAAAAAAAAATCTAAAAACATGTGTACAGATCTTTAATAAATGCGATAAACCTTTAAGTATTTAAAACCACTCCCTAACAGGCTAAAAGTGAAGAGTTCCCCATTGAGAGATTGGACAGATATGTGGGAGTTTCTGATTGAGCTCTGAGCTCAGAGAACGCTGGCTGTTTGTGTCCTCTAACATCCTTTAGTATTTATCCTTTCCTCTGCCGCCACAGGCAAGATGAGGTGAGAAATCCGGCTCCACAGTCCACTGTACTTATCAAGGTCCATCCTGTCAAACGATACAGGATGGTCGTGAGAGAGAAACTTTTTCTGGAGGTGGTCGTCCACCATCTCCTCCAGGGCACTCAGGTGAATCGCTGCCGGGATTTCCTCCTCTTCATCCAGCAGTACAGTGAAGATCAGCAAAGTCTTCTTGTAAGCTGCATTTTCATGGTCGCAATAGCGATAGAAAATGAGAGTGGAGGCTGGAGGCAGCTCTTCAAAGCGGTGGATGACCACTGCGGGTTTATCTCCTTCAAAAGCGCCCTGCAGCTTGCTGTCGATGTCCAGCTTGACTTGGTCGCTGTCTTGGCTGGATTTGCTGGCTCCGTCGATTTGGAGGACCGACGCATTGAGGGCAGAAGAAAAAGCTGAGGCCAGACTCTGAGCCAGGCAGTATAGCGTCCTGTCGGCTCTGAAGCCTGCGGTCAGGATCAGACTGACCGGCTCGGTCGGCTGGATGGTCTGAAGGTGCCTTTTTAGGTGGATTTTGCTCCTACTCCAAAGCTCGGCGCGCTGGGCTGGAAACCGAGTCTTTATTTCTTCCAGCTGTTTGAGGAAGATGTCAACCTGCTGCAAATCGTTTTTCTGAAGTGGAGGTTCCACTATGTAGCAATACTGCACCAAGATGGCAACGAGTACCATCACAATCACTAATAATCCTCCAATGCCTGTGAAGAAAAACCCTGAGTCAATTCAACATGATCTCTTTTCATTCTAATCAAACAGAATCGATAGGAGTGGAATCCCAAGAGTACCTCTAAAAATACCAGTTTTGTCTTGAATTGCTTGTTTAGAGTCCTCTGCATCAGTGGGGTGAAGGGTTTTAACATGACATCTCCCGTCATCCGTCTCCTCGAGTGCTGAAGTTGCTAGTAGAAACGGCGTCTGTGCTGAATCTGTGTTCGTCTGAGTTTGTTCTTCTTCTGGAGCTGAAGTTTTTAACAAATCTGACCAGAGGGGGAACAGGAGAAGTTTAATAAAAAAACAAAAAACAAGTTTAGTTTTGTGTCAGTGAAGCACCCAGATGCTTTGGATCACAAGAATCCAAGAGCTAATTTCCCAGGAGGTTTTTCTCTTCGTTAACTTCAGGTCTTGAGATCCAAATTAAGCCAACCGTTACGTCCGTCTAACTGTTCCTCCGTTTTGTAAGCCAGAACTACATGAATATTGGCTTCTATGGCTTTGTTATCCCAAAGTACAGAAAAAATTCAACAACAATCTGGGTATTTTGAATTGTATTTAAAAAGAGAATTAACTTAATCAAATACTAAGTGAAAATAATACAAGCAAATGCCAAGATAAGTCAGCTAATTTAATGGTTTAATGATGTCCAAAAAAGGCAAGATAGCTAAAAGCATTGCATTTGAAGATATAAAAAACTAAACTTATAAGTGATAGTGGCTGGAAGGTTATGGTGAATTCCTCTAAAGACAGTGAATACAACTATTACAGCTAAATAAAATATAAAAGTTTGTGATGAAAAAAGGTCCCTATAGTAGGACTTGGACAGGAAAACTCACCTGGAATTGCGTCCGTCTCCACAACAAGCCTTTCGTTATGCAATTCTTTGTTGTAATCGCCATGGCTTTCATTATCAGCTCGACCAATGTCCTCTACAGTTGTTGTTTTTTCCTGTTCTGAAGGGGGAGATCCTTCCGTCTGGGGCATCTTCTGATTTTCAGCTACATCATCATCTGTGACCAAAAGGGAAACAAACTGCTATTTAGGTTTTTACTCTGACTGAACTCGTTTAAATTTGTAATGTAAAAAAAAAAAAACGGTTATAATTTCTGTTCCAGAAGTATCATTAGACAAATTCAAGTTTTTCGCACTTACCTTCTACTGTTGGTGTTGTGTCTTCAATGTTGCTATTTTGCACCTCCTCTGTTGTAGGTATTGATGGCACATCTGTGTCTTGAAAGGAAACATGAAGGCCATTTGTTATTTGTGTCCTTTACGCAGAAACATGTTTGATATGGAATGGTAAACCGCAGTGTCCCTTTTCTAAATTACCTTTTAGAAGTTGTTGCTTTACATCATCTGCCGGATCCTTTGTCATGGAATCATCACTTGACAGTGTTTTCTCCTCCTTGACATCTATTAAAAGCAAGGCAAGTGTAAAAAAAACACTGCTGGGAATGTTTTGTAATCCACTAAAATATTTAAACTTTTACTAGGTTACATTCAAACACTAGTGGTGTTTCCGTACTGTCTGAATGCTGGCAGGTGAGATTCCTGTCCTCTTGTTGCCGTTCCTCTTCCATGTATTTGACTGGGGACGCTTCACCTCAGATAGTTCACTGGTAGCTTCGAGCCTACACAAGACATAGGTCCGAGCACATTTATTAGTTTTGTGAACACAGGTTCAAATTCCAAACTAATGTCGTAAAGCACCTGTCAAAGAGGCCTGATAAAAGGCAGACTTTCACTAAACGCTCAAACATTCAGAACAGCCCAAATGAATTAAATCACTAATTTTTACAGATCATTGTTGTATTAAATTACAATACCCCGTGTCGGCGTTTTCTGGGTTTTTACGATTAATCATGAAGAGATCGTAGGAACTCGAGAAGGGGTAATTATTTGAAGCTAACTGACTCGACAACTGAATTAGCCGCTAGCATAGCGTAGGAAGGTTGGAGAGGAAAATAAGCAATTTAGCTTGCTCTTCGTGAACGAGGCATAGCATAAATCAGACATAAATTGTTTGTAACCCTTATTAACAAGTCCGCGCCTGAAATGCTAGACAAGACAGCTCAGGTCGGTTCGACTAAGATGCTAATTTAGCTATGAAAAGCTAACTGGCTCAAATACAGTACATTTTCGAGTGATATAATTACCTTCATATAAAAGGAAAATAAAAATAAATTTAAAAAATGGTTGTTTCCGATTACCAACTCATTACAGTCGCAGCTCGATAACACATCGGTGGATAATAATGCTTCCCATTAGTTACGCGAGTCAGACTGACAGGCATACGATTTTAGAGCGGAACCTTCAGTAGCATCCTTGTTTCCGTCAGTAAGTCAGGAATGGACATATTTCCGCATATTTCCGGAAATCTGTGTTCTTTCGTTTGGTATGATAGTTTCGGGAAGTCCGTCCGTTTCTCGTTACATGTTAATGGACAATATGTTGTGTAGTATCATTTAATTGGTATTTTTGCTGTCATTTGTTGATTCATCAATGGATTCTACAATTTCTCAGAATAAGGATTCTGCCCCTTTGAGACGGTCGTCAAGGCAGTCAGTGGGGAAAGGTAGGCAAACTGACTGCTTAGCTAGCTTGACCGCCAACTTTCCGCTATTCACTGACGGTTTAACATCAGAGCATTCTAATACATACAGAAACCAACGTTTGTTTATTGGATCATCATAACTTGCCCTTGAACAGGAAAGTAGCGATGAAATGTTTTATTTTTCAAAATATTTTCTTTTTGAGCGCAATGTCTAAGGTGCTGTGTTTTTTGTTTTTGTCTTTTGGTCAAGCCATAACATTTATACCACAACTGTCTGTTGTTGTTGTTTTTTAGCCACGATTGTTCCCTTGTGCTTAGATACAGTCCTATTGTACTTTTTTGAATTTAACACCGACCACCACAATACAATATATAATAATAAGGTGTCATATTTTCTTTTCTTTGAATTATGGTAATTTCAGAATTCTCTGGCATCAGTATGCTTTATATTATGTCACAGTTATTACTATATATACCAAAATAGGATTATACTTTTATACTTGTAGAATGTTATGATTGAGTGGCAGAATTCCATGTTATGTGACATTGCAGTAGTTACTGTCCAAAAGTGGCGGGTCCACTGATGCCTGCAGCTATTTAAGCTCAGAAAGTCCTTCAGGAGGCATCAGACTTTCATCATGAAGCTGTGAAAGTAGTTGTCTTAGTCTGATGCTTAATTTTTTCTTTTAAATCATATCAACAGTTGTGTACGTGACCATAATTTGGCACGCTTCCCTTCTCGGAAGTTGGACTATCATCAGCCACTGTTGTATATTATAACCATATGTCCTCCTGACCATGGATTTTTTTTTTCCTGGATTGTGTGCAGTGTCACACTTTTCAAAGAGTTTAGAATTTGCTTGAGGGAAATGGGGAAGAAGAAAAGACTCATTGCGGTTAACTTAACCTCCAGAATCCGTAGTTTTAAATGCATCTACCTGTGGTCCATGTTTATGGGAACATACACTATGAGACATTTGATCTTTTTATTTTTTTCCAGGTTTTAAAAGAAAAATAATTCTGTTTTTTTCCCAGTATTGAAATTTGAAGCAACCGTCAGGGGTCCTTTAAAGCGGGGTAAAAAGAGATCAGAAGATCGTTTTGCCACCAAAACAGTCAATGGTTCCAGAGATGTGGAAAATGGCTTGGAGGACGAAGGTGAGATGGTTTTATTTTAAAAAAAAAAAGTAAAACTTTTTAAGATACATTTAATTTTTTATTACCTAATATTATTCAGTTCAGCTGTGACTTTTTATTTAAATCATTGCTGTTGTTGTTTTTTATATATCAGAGTCCCCCAGTAAGAAGAGCCGCCTTGATACCGAAAGAGCTTGTGGTGACAGTAATAATGAAAATAAGATGGATTACCAGGAAGCAGCAGAAGAAGAGGAGGAAATGGAGGACCAGAAATTGGAAATTGGGAAGGAATTGTCCTATGAGAGGAAACAACTAAAAATCAGCAAAGGTTGTGACGCCAACTAATTATGGTTGACAACTTTCTGTTGATTGAATTACTAGTTGTTGGACTATTTGTGCAGCTCTTCAGAGCCCAAAGTTTAGTTTCTGGTTTTGATCTATTTTGATTATATATAAAATCTCCTAGTGTTTGAATAGTAAAGGGTGAATTGTTATTTGCAATTGTAATGTGGTCGTTTTGCTATGAGTTACCTTAACTAAAATGATCTTATCACTGTAATTTTAACAGTTTGATTAATGTTTAAAACAGATGAACTGGGAGAACTGAATCTATCTCCTTTTGTGGTGCTCGGTGAACGCTGCCCGACAATTCCCTTGCGTGAAAACTATGACCAGTTGAAACCTCAAAGAGGTAGGAGAATATTACACCTTTTCTTTTTCTGCAAGGGAAGAAAAGTAAAGATAACATTTTGTGATACCAAATAATTTTCCTGCATGGGAAGTACTAGATTTACACTGCATAGGTTGATGATTTTATTTAATCATAAACCAGCTTGTCTTTTTTCATCAAAACAAGAGTCAAAAGCACCGGCATCCCCCACCAAGACTAATGTGCATACAAAACCACTGGAGATTAGACGAGATGTAAAGGTCACCAGCATGGCTGATTATCAAAAGAAAATGGACGCTATAGCAAGGAGTAAAGGTAGAGTACTGCAGATTTTTACTTACTAATACACTTGTTGTAAATAAAGTTGTAATGACAGCCTGTTGAATGTTTTTTCATCTTTGGTAAAATATTAAATGAACATTTAAAACCTCATTTTAGATACAACCACAGTTAACCGACGAATCCCAAGCATGGTTCCAACCCCAGAGAAAACCTACCCAACACGACGTGTGAAAAACATTCCTGCACCCAAGTCGAGCGTTGATCCGAAAAAACAAGGTATTGCAGCCTCGATGCGACATTACAGAACTTCGCACATCTCAGCAATTTTTACAACTTTAGTCGTTTTACAACTCCTATAAAATGTTTCACTTTTAGAAAAAACAAAGAAATCTGCAGTAACCAAAGGAAGCTCTGGAAATTCCCGTAGAGGTAAGCTATACATGTGTATTTAATTCCATCATCATTTGTTAGATCAGTTACTACTATACGTCACTTCAGTTAATAGTCTGGTAGTTTTGCACCGATCAAAGGAAATGTCTGTTTGGTTTTGTTTTGTTTTTGCTTTCAGAAATCTTACCCAGAACACAGGCTTTTACTGTTATGAGTGTTTTTTTTATTTCCCCAAACCCCAAAACTAAAACAAGGTTTCTTTCTTGGTAGGGTTTCTGTGGAACATATGGGGTTTGCTTTTCCTGCTACTTCTCAGCTCCGCCACTCTGCTTGCGTACAAAATCGTCCCTTTCCTCCAAAAGACAGCGGACGGTGTGGTGCCTCCGTCTGGAGGCTCGATTCCAGAAAAGCTTGGTGACTTTCTGTCCCTTCTAGAGGCTCACTTCCCCAGACAGCGAGCGGAGTTGTGGAGGATGAGTAAGATCCACTTGGAGAAGCACCTTAAAACTGCCCAGCCCACAGAGCCGGTCAGTCTGATCTTGGCAGCAGGGCTGAGGGCAGAGAGGACCCTGCACTGCCTGGCCCAGGGCCTGGCCTCCGCATACTCATCTGCCCTCAACGCCTCTGTCCTGCTCCTGGACGGAGCGGCCAAAGCCGGCCAGGACAGCGACGAGGTCAAGCTAGACATCGACAACCGGCTGAAGGCAGCTTTTGGGGGAGACACGCCGGTGGCGGTCATCCATCGCTTCGATGAACTGCCGCCCGGTTCCACCCTGATCTTTTACCGTTACTGTGACCACGAAAATGCGGCGTATAAGAAGGTGTTCTTGTTGTTTACCGTGCTGCTGCCCGAAGATGAAATCGGGGATCAGCTGAGTTTAAAGGAAGTGGAGGAGATGGTACAAGAGCACGTTGAGAGCAAGCTGGTGCGCTCCACGAACGCAGCCACATTCAATGAAATGGATATTGACAAGTTCGGTGGGCTCTGGAGTCGCATCTCCCATCTCATTTTACCTGTGGTGTCAGAGCTTAAGTCTGAGCCAGATAAATGTCCCCACAACAAGCCAGATTTTCTAAAATCGTACAGCAACCACATTGGACCAAGCTGATTTTTTAGAAAAGATGTAACATAATTGATAAGGAAATATTATTTGTGATGTGGTATTTAAGGCCTGCAGACTTGATTTCAAATGCTCTCTGTTAGAGATGAGAATCTGCTCAAAGTGGAATTTTGTAATTGAGTTTAGGGAGTTGAAAATATGTACAGGATTATGTGAGATGACTTGTGTTGACATACAGGTGTAACAGTAGTGTTACATTGACATATTTCCCTCATATTTTGATAGAAAATGTTTTTTTCCCCAGACATTTTGTTCTTGTTCCGCATCCATGTACCATATTTTTCACAAGCCTGTAATGCAGAATTCATCCTAAATGTTTTATATTCTACCAATGTCTTTGTTTTGATAGGACATTGACATTTCTTCCTCTTCCACAAATCTCAGAGTGAACTGAACGACCTGTTAACTGAAGATGTCACTTCAGTTAACAGTCAGGTAGTTTTGCACTGATCAAAGGAAATGTCTGTTTGGTTTTGTTTTTTCTTCGCTTCAAGACATCTTATCCATAATACAGGTTTTTACTGTTGTGAGTGTTTTTTTAATTTCCCTTTCTGAAGATGTGTATTTTGTGACATATTTCTTAGATCGAAATCTTTTTAAATATCTATATATTTTGGATTTTAAAAGGTTTGATATTTGCACTGCTCAAGAAAAACACTCAAATATTTTGAAAATGTTAAAAACATGCAGGTTCATATGAAGTCATTAAAAATTTGTAAAATGTGAAACTTGGGCTGACTGTTTCAGACACAAAAATTGTGCCTTTCAAAATATAAAGGCAAGACTGCTTTTGAAAAGTAACCAGAACATTAACTGATCATATTGTACTTTACCTTGACAACCTCAGAACTCAAACAAGGTTTCTTTCATTGGATTTGTTAGAAATTAATAATTAACAGTGTTACCACTGTTATGTTTTAATTCCTAGTTCCTGTTATTGCCCAGATCCATTTTCTTTTCTTCTGTTTGAGTGTATAATCTGAGCACTGAATATTTTCAATAAAGACTATTTTGATAATCAGGAGTTAATGTTTAAGATTCAGAAAAAGTGTGAGGCAAAATTCGTATTTGACTTTAGGGTTACAACTGACTAACCAGGAAGTTGTCACTTTACAACAAAGTGGAAGGTTGATGATTTACTAGTTGGATTTCCACTGAAAATGTCAGCTGCTTAATAGCTCATCCGATGCACCTTTGACCAGAAGAGGAACTTCCAACTTGTAATTTGCAATCAACATTTAGATTGTTTTTTATCATCTATACATGTTGGTGTAGCAAGGTTTGTCTTTTATATTAGAAGCCCATTCCGCACAGTTTCTGAAAGGCACTTTGACTCTCATTTAAAACATTTTCTGCCTGGCAACCAATGTGTACATTCTGTAGGCGAGTCAATCAATTCTTCTAATAGTAAAACCTCTACGATAAATTTAATTTGTTTCGGTACCTACTTCGTACCATGTTAAAATATCCGTACGTTGGTTCAAAAATTCATATTAGAATACACTGTAATTTGTATAATTCGTTCTGCTGCCCGAAAACCTACGATAACTCCTTAATAAATACTGCAGATAATTACACATAGGAATAAAACAAATGCATGTATAAGAGAGATTTAAAAAGGAATGAATTATAAAGAAATTATGAATAAAATGGGCTTTTCATTGGCACTTTACCTAAGAGACTGGTGAATAGAGGTGTAGGCTTTGCTTATGTATTTTTAGTTCATTTTTATTTATCTAAATATATATATTTTCTCTATGGCTTCGATGTCATACATCGTATGTTGGAAATTTACTTGTCGAGTTGAATATTTGATTGAATTTCACTTAAGATGGAAAAGTCATATGTTAGGCAATCATAAGTACAGGTTTTATTTATTTTATTGAACAAAGACAAACATTTAGTGTAAAGTGCACAAAAACATCAAACAG